CACACACACACACACACACACACACACACACACACACACACACACACACACACACACACACACACACAGATGGTGTGATGTGTGTGACGAGTAATTTGGCCACATTTCCCCGTGTATAGAATCACATGCCATTTGGATGCAAGGCCAGAATTCCCACAAACTACTGGAACACACACGCACACAAACACACACACACACACACACACACAGATGGTGTGATGTGTGTGAGGAGTAATTTGGCCACATTTCGCCATGTATAGAATCACATGCCATTTGGATGCAAGGCCAGAATTCCCACAAACTATTGGAAGTCGGGCCACGTTTTCCGGATAAAGAAGAAGAGGATTGAAGAGGAGAAAAAGGGATAACTTACCAACGGAGGGAGAAGAGGAATTGACGACGGGTATTCTTGCATGTCATCCTCCTCCTCAGAGTCGGAATGGCCGTTGATCCTGTTTTCCGCCTTCCTCAGTCGCTGCTGAATTCGCAGCCTCCGCACCTGACATGAATTTTTGAATATATAATTCATTTACCCATGCAATGATTCCATCGGCCGTTAGTAATGACAAGTTTTTTTTTTGTTTTTTTTTTAATCAAGCACTAACATAGTGCAATCAGACTCGCTTTCTTCGCACCTCGCATGCATACAAACAGATGGCATTCCACACTGGCGCTGGGCTACTCAAGGCGAGGACACAGTTCAGATACAAACACGTTTCAATTTAACTATGGTGCCTGAGCGCTTGTACATCCCTCTTCGCCTCAACTGTCCACACACACTTCACACTGGATCTCCCTGGATATCCCATGCACACACACTCAGTAGCGAACACACACACACTGAACTCTGTCTCTAGCTACAGCGGCTATGGCCGCCTAACCTCTACTGGCTATGGATACTCTATCTCCCTTCAGCCCACTTCGACCTCGGGCATCTGCAGACCACCTCGCACAAGACGCTATGGCAGCGCTTCCGCATGGCTCACGCAGGAATGAATGAATGGCTGGACGCTGCCTCTTGATTTATACTTCTGTAAGTCGCTGGTCTGCCCTTTTCCACCGGGCCCATGGTGCACACAGTCCCTCATGGTACTTGCTGACTGTACAAAGTGAGACTGGGACTGGGTACCGCTGACTAAACGAAGTTGGACTCACCACTTGCCCACTTGCCTCTGGTCTGCTGTGAGTAACGTGACAAAAACTCGAAAGGCCACTTCCGGACCTTCCGGAAGTCTGTGGACTTGGCCTTTCGGGACTGTAGCAGCTACGACCTTGACCTTTCAGGACTGTAGCAGCTACGACTTTGACCTTTCAGAATTGCTACAGCTACGGCCTCTACACAACTATGACCCCTAGTCGACAGACCTAGAGATCGAACCCCTACAGCTACACAGACCTACGACAGGCAACAGTCAACTACCAAAACACAGGTCACGGGCTCAAACACACAGGGGTCGACTCGATACCGTACACGGGTGTGGTAAGGTCTAGGGATTGAGCCCTGGGATCTGCATCTGCTACTGCTAAGTGAAAACGGTTTCAATAGTCTGCAGAAAAAAGGAACAAAAAACAAAAAAGGATTGACTCTTTCTGCAATGTGGTGAGCACAGAGTCCACCACCCACCCCTGCCGGAAGGCTGCCCAGTCCCCTGGCTGGGCAGCCTCAGCGCCGAGGTTTGGACCACTTTCAACACCCCGGCCGCAGTCACACGCCGCCAGGTGCCTTCAGAAAAATGATGATGACGATGATTGTAATGGTGGATGATGATGATCATAATGACAACTGTGATGGTAAAATGATGATGATGATGATGATGATGATGAGGATGATGATGATGATGATGATGATGATGATGATGATGATGATGATGACGATGATGATGATCGTGACGATAACGGTGATGATGATGATGATGATGATGATGATGATGATGATGATGACTTCTCCATCGCGACATTCAGGTGCAATTAACCAAGTACCAATCGACATTCGACCTCGCACACACGCAGAGAACATTGAGGTGAGAGTGCACACTAGAGAAGCCAATAGCCGAGACACACTCGATGCATGAGGATCATGCACTGAGTTATTATTACTATACAAAGAAATTACTCCCGTCTCCACAGGTCCTTGCCGCTCACACACAACTCAAACCAGATAGATGGCGACTACGACTCTTCTGTCTTTCTCTCCTGTCTCTCACCGCTTGAATCGCGCACTCTCTCTCTCTCTCTCTCTCTCTCTCTCTCTCTCTCTCTCTCTCTCTCTCTCTCTCTCTCTCTCTCTCTCTCTCTCTCTCTCTCTCTCTNCTCTCTCTCTCTCTCTCTCTCTCTCTCTCTCTCTCTCTCTCTCTCTCTCTCTCTCTCTCTCTCTCTCTCTCTCTCTCTCTCTCTCTCTCATTTGTATCGCTCTTCCTCACTCTCTCTCCTAAACCTAGATCGTAACCCTGGATACAACCACTCAGATCCGGTTCCAACCTCGGCGCCTATGGCCACCTGACCTCCTCCTCTACTACCCTAGCTATGGTGAACCTCAGGCGCCACACAACATGCTCAACAAAAGTCGCACAGAGATTCACACCAAAACCAGATGTGGAACATCAGATCAGCACAGCTCAGAAACTTCAATGAAAACTCGTGTTGTACAAATTCACAGTTCAGAGAGCCCAGTGCTCATCAGCGCATGCAACCACAACTTCGACCAGGTAGGTACCCAAGTATCCTGCCCTGCAGCTATCTCCCTCTCCTTCTCTCATTCACTGTTGCTTGCCCTTGCTTCTCTCTCTTCACTCGTAGCTCTCTCTCTCTCTCTCTCTCTCTCTCTCTCTCTCTCTCTCTCTCTCTCTCGCGCGCGCGCGCGCGCGCGCGCGCGCTAGCCCTAGATCGTAACCCTGGGTACACCCACTCAGGTAAGCTTCCCGGTTTGGCGGCTATGGCCGCCCAAGCTCCAATCTTACTACCCTAGATATGAAGACCCTTAGCCCTCTTCCTCTTCTGGCCCGCTCTGCCAAGTCGACCAACGGACAAGCAGCTTGGCAGTGCTTCCGCATATCGCAACTGAACAAGTGATGAGCCACTGCACTGTAGCAGCTAAATATAGAACTGGACGTGACTTGGCCTTCTTCAGACCAGAACCTGTCGGCCACGGCCTGTCTGCTGCAATCATTTTGTCCATCCGGTTGTTTTCGGACTTTCCTCTGACAAGCTGCAAAAATAGGCCTTGGGACTGGACTGGACTAGACTGTTCTTGTCAGGGACCGGACTATGAGCCTACGACGCATCAACTTATGGACCCCTAGAACCAATAGCCTAGGACGGAGACCCTTTGGAACTTGACCTGAATGGGACTGGGAGAATTTGGGACTGTGGAACTAGGACTCGGGATGTCTGCAGCGTGAATCCTTTCATCTTCCTTCTTGAGGCACAGTGCGCCCAAGTCGGTGGATCGCACAAGCAGCAGCAGGGCTTCCGCATCTCCTGAATGAACAAACACCCAGCCGCTGCACTGCAGCAGCTAAAAATAGGATTCGAGACTTGGATTGGCCTGCTTCAGACCGGTAACGGTCGGCCACGGCCTGTCTGCTGCATTCATTTTGTTGGTCCGGTAAGCTCCGGACTTTCCTGGGACTTGCTGCAAAAATATGACTTTGGACTGGACTGGACTGGACTGGACTGGACTTTTCTGGTCGGGTACCGGACTGACTTCTAACTACCGACTTTTCTACGGTACCGGCCCGACCTATAGCCTACGATGCTTGCACCTAGTAAGTCCTACTGGCCCTACTGGACCTAATGGGCCGTGGACCATCCGGGACTGGGACTTCGGACTTTGGGACTGGGACTTCGGGATGTCTGCAGCGTGAAATCCTTTCACAGGCCAAGTTGTGGTGGAATGATGATGAAGATGATGAAGATGATGATGTTGATGATGATGATGATGATGATAATTGCTCCATAGCCCACCCCTCCTCCCCCAACCCCCCAGCCTGCCCAACCAATTTTTGCTAAACACTTAAGTTAAGAAGCATAAAAGATCCCGGATTCGGGCGAACAGACAGGTTTTATTGTCCTCATCATCATCATCGTCATCATCATCATCATCGTCATCATCATCATCATCATCGTCATCATCATCATCATCAACAACAACAGCAGCAGCAGTATGGTGCCAGTGCATGAGTGGAGTTTCTGTCACTTACCCTTGCAAGCTCTCAAAGTATAGACAAAGACTATTCTGAGCTTTCAAGGCCTATTCCTAAGCATGTTATACCCAAACGCATAAGGTAGGCAGGCATGAGCGCAACCCTGTAGTCCAGTGTATTTGAGGGCGAGAGGGAGGGGGAGGGGGGGGGGGGGGGGGGGGGGGGGGGGGGGGGGGAGGAGAGGGGGGGCGGGTAACTTGTCATGAACCTGTTCAGCTTTGCAACCAGGTGCAAGGTAGCACACACGACACCACATCCAACATATGCATCCTTGTTGCAAAGCTGAACACGTTCAGATTTTGAACCCTTTTTTTTTCCCTTTTAAGCAACTATTTGAAGCAGAACGCTGAAAAAAAACGCAAGAAAGGCGGCGGGGGGAGGAGAAGGCGGAAGGAAGGAAAGAGTTGATGTCCTACCTACCTCTTCCATCAGTAGAAAGATCTTGTTCCGTCTCCTTGTGATGTTCTCGGCAATTTCTTGCAACTGCAGTTTTGCGAAATCCTCCACGGTATCTCTTCCCTCGATGATTATAAATTTTTGACTCGACAAATCATCGTTGTCCACGTCCGCACCTCTTATCGACGACGAGAGGGTAGAAAAGGTTTTGCAGCATCAGCCACACCAACAAACAGACAGCAACACAAAAGGCAAACTGATGCTGAGCAATGATCTGTCTGCAAAATTCCTCCTAGATGTCAACAACTGACGATCTCCGTTCTTTTTGCCACTTTCCTTTCAAATTTTGTTGATGCACGCCCGCCGCTCGGAGTAAGCCGTCGATGACGTGAGTCCCAAGAATACCAACATGAGGAAGAGATGTAACCTGACGCAGCTGAAGAGTCAAATCAGATATTAGGGGTGTCTCATGATGGAGAAAAATTTGGCCCCACCCAAGGTGAGAAGCTGATTGAGCCTCTGGCAAAATAATTTGGAGGCTCAGGACAGGGCATCCAAGGGCCACGAGAAAAGGAAATTGTCCCAATTCGGGCCGTGGGGGTGGCACTAGGCTCAGTGCCAAACAACGAAAAAATAAAAAAGTCCCCTGCCCCCAGGTGGGCCCTGTCCAGCGTCCCCAAACTTTTCGGAGAGGCTCACCCGCATTCTCCAGATGTACTGGAGGTTCAACTCGCGCCTTTCTGGCCCCATGTTAAGAGCTTCCGGTATGGAATGAGACTTAACGGAAAGTAGATCGATCGTTTTCAATGTTATGATGATTTAGATTGATCGGTCAGTTGGGCCATAAGGACCTGTTTAAGGTGAGAAAAAAAAAAGATTGATCAGTCAGTTCAATAAAGGGTGAGTTTGTACACCCATGAACTGTTGAAATACAGACCCCAAGTTCGAGTCCAGATACCAACAGATGAACAGAATAAAAACATTCTGAATTGTCTGGGGCCTGTCAGTTCAATGATGATATCTCAAGGCCTTCACCCTTCTAAAAACCAAGATTTTGGAAGGAAAAAAAAAAAGAAGAAGAAGAAGAAGAAGACTTAGAAGAGATTGTTAATGTGCCCCAGATCCGATCTCACACCGAGGAGGGAGGGGTCCAGACATAGAAGAGACCTCGTCGCTGAAATCGTACACAGACAAAGTATCAGGTGGGACATGGAGGAGGAGGAAGAAGGAGAAGAAGAAGGCGAAGAAGAAGAAGGAGATGCAGAAGACCCAATGTATGGCAGCGCCAAATAATAAGTCTCTTCTCCACCTCACTGCAAGGAAAATGAGCGATAGCCAACTCCAGAAACCAAGCAGCATCATACACATAAAACCAGATAGTCGTGACCTCGAACCAAAAGCAGAATTGCAATACGAGTTCCACCAAATAAGGGCACAGCAAAAGCTCACAAGTGGCAATGTTGGAATAGTTTCATCATCATCAACAATGAACCAATGTCGACATCCTATCTCGGACTGGCGCTCTGCGCCCAGACTACAAATGGCAGATCTTATCTAGCCTATCTACAATGCCGCTGGTGACGTCAACAGCTCCCCGAAGTACGAGCAGATCTCGGCCAATGCCATTCGCCTCAAGCACGAGGTATGTCTCTCGCATCACTCACAACCTTGATTCCCCACACACAGATGCCACATGCACCCAAGGACCACCATGCGCCCCATCCAGCATAGCGCAGGGCAGCTCGGCTATGGCTGCCTGCTCTTCCTGCTCACCCGTGAGCGTGTGGGCGTTGGCCAGCGATTAGCGCAGCAGCGCTTGCGCAGCATGCAGCCAGTGCCCGAATACCAAATGTGGGGGCAGGCACTTTCCTATATGGAAGTGGCCTGCCTGCTGCGAGCGGCCTGGCTGCACTGGGCCCCTGCCCAGAGGCTTCCGGTAGGCCCCAAGTGGCTGAGCCCCAGTCCAAGGGAATCAGGCACAGGGCCTGGGGCGGTTACCCGTGTTCAACTGCCCACAGCCTGTGNTTCCGGTAGGCCCCAAGTGGCTGAGCCCCAGTCCAAGGGAATCAGGCACAGGGCCTGGGGCGGTTACCCGTGTTCAACTGCCCACAGCCTGTGTTTGGTCCATGTCGCGTGTCTGGCCCAGGGCCTGCCACAGATACATTTGATGAAGGCAGCCTGGGCCTGGGCGCTCTCAACCAACTGGCGCTGCTCAACTGCCTGAATTTCCCCAGTTGCGTGCTAGTCCAAAATAGGCCCCTCGGCCTTGGTCGGCCTGCCTTCACTTAGGGCGGCCGACAGTGCTGGAAACAGGGCCTGATAAGGCTCGTCGAGGTCTTGAGCCTTGCATTCCCTCCTCCATACTTCGACAGTCCTCTGAGAAGTTCAATTACTCAATCTGGCGCTTTCCTTTCTTCAATGACTTCTCGTACTGAGCGACAGCCTGTGGAGCAGTCTGCATCAGTTCCTCCCGGGTAAACCATCTATCCTCCTTTGGATCAGTGTGATGTCTGAACCGAACGCGATACTGCAGCTTCGGCTTTGGAGGACGACCCCTGCCTGTCGATCTTGGAACTGGTATTTCCCTGTGGTCCATGATGTCATCGATGTCGACTTCTCCGTCCATGGTTGGGGGCAGCATCGAGCGATGAGAAGGGAACTCGGTTTCCTTGAACGGTGCGAGCTTGGAGGCGTGAAAGACAGGGTAAGTGCATAGGTGACCAGGGATCCGGATCAAGATGGCCCGTCCGGATCATCCCCGACAATGTCTAGAACCTCCCATGGCCCGAAGTACTAAGGCATGAGCTTACGGGAGATCCCATGCTCTTGTCCTAGTTCAGAAGCTTTGACCCAGACTCTGTCCCCTACGTGGAATGTAGATGGGCGGCAATGCTTGTTCTCAGACTCTATCATTGCCGCCTGTGATCTGTGCATCTGCTCTACAGCTTTCTGCATCCGGCGTTCATATCGGTAGGCAAATTCTAAAGTGCCTGGTGCAGCAGTCGGCTGGTTTTCCGGTAGTAGGAAGTCTAGAGGCAGTCTAGGCTTGAAGGTTATTAGCAGGCTGTTAGGACTCACCCCTGTTGCGCTGTGCACAGCGTTGTTATACAGACTGGCGATGAGAGGAAGTTTCTCATCCAGTCCACCTGGTTAGGCTTGATATAATGCCCTAACAAGTGTTGTACAGCGCGGTTCAGCTGCTCTGCTTGCCCGTTTGCTTCTGGGTGGCTCCCAGAAGTCATTCGCAGTTGTGTTCCCTGTTCTGCAGCTGCAGCCGTCCACAACTCACTGGTGAATCGGACATCCCGGTCGCTCATAATAGACTTTGGAAGCCCAAAGTCTCTGACCCAGTTCTCTTTGAACAGCTTGATCACATACTCAGTCGTGGCTGTAGCAGGCATTGCAACTAAACTAGCATACTTACTAAGCAATGACATAGACATATTGCATTCCGCTCTTGCTGGTGACCAGAGTGTCCATGAAATGCATAGACAGGGTCTCACTGGCCTTTCCGGAATGGGAAGGGGCTTGAGAAGCCCAAGAGGGGCCTGTGTACGTGGCTTGTCCATCTGACACACTTGACAAGTCTCCACGTACAGCTTCGCATCTTTCATCATTGTGGGCCACCAGAATCGCTGCAACAAGTTTGCTGCAGTCTTTCTATATCCAAAATGTCTGGTGGCGTCATGACACTCACCTAAAAATAAACTACGCAAAGACTCCCGATTTGGAACACACAAGCGTTTATTCCCAGGCTTCTCAAGAAACAGCAGGTCGTTGACCAACACAAACTCGTCAGCAGTTGCTTTGTCCTTTGCCTCGAGTCTGCGTATCACCTCGACCATAAACGGTTCCTCACGATAGGCTTCCACCAAGGATTGAGTAACATCGTCCGCAAGCCCAAACTCCGTGACAGCACACCGAGGAAGTTTGGTCTACGCGACAGCGCGTCAGCAACCTTGTCGTACTCCCCTTTGATGTACTGAGGCTCGAAGTCATATTGCTCAATGACTTCGATCCTGCGTTTCAAAGCATCGGAGAGCACAAGCTATGTCTTCATCCACCTTAGGGTCTGATGAGAAGTCTTGGCATAGAAGAATCTCCCAAGGAGATAATGCCTCCAGTGAGTCAGAGCTTTATAAATCGCATAGAGTTCCTTCTCATAGGTGGACTTAGCCAAGCTAAGCCAACTTTTGAGAGGGCATCTTTTTGGACATGTACTCTACAAGCCTTAACTTTTTGCCCTCCTGTTGCACAAGCACGACACCAATTCCATATTGGCTGGCATCCGTGGTTACTACGAAAGGTTTGTCAGGATCCGGAATTTTCAAGACCTCATGGTGTGTTAGAGCATGCTTCAGGTGTCTGAAGGCAGCCTCACACCTGTTTGTCCACTCCCACGGGGTGTCAAGGCATGTCAGGTCCGTCAAAGGGGCGGCCACTATGCTATAGTTCTTGACAAAATTGTTGTAGTAGTCGGTCATCCCTAAGGACCTCATCTCAGTCACAGACTGAGGACGCGGCCAGTCACGAATGTTGGCCACCTTCACGTCATCGGGTTTCAATCCCTCTGCTGAAATTTCATGACCCAGGTACAAGATCCGGGTGCGGCCAAACTCGCACTTCTCCCGGTTAATCTTGAATTGGTGCTGCTGAAGGAGACTAAGGACTTTATATAAATGACCAACATGCTCTTCGGCAGTCCTACTGAAGCTAACTATGTCATCGAGGTACACGATGACAAACTTGTCCAAGTAGTCACAGACTGAGGACGCGGCCAGTCACGAATGCTGGCCACCTTCGCGTCATCGGGTTTCAATCCCTCTGCGGAAATCTCATGACCCAGGTACAAGATCCGGGTGCGGCCAAACTCGCACTTCTCCCGGTTAATCTTGAACTGGAGTTGTCGAAGGAGACTAAGGACTTTATCTAAATGACCAAAATGCTCTTCGACAACTACTGAAGATAACTATGTCATCGAGGTACACGATGACAGACTTGTCGAAGTAGTCATGAAAGATCCGGTTCATGGCATGTTGAAAGGTGCCAGGAGCATTGCAAAGGCCGAAAGGCATCAGACCGTACCTGGTCTGAAAAGTGGTTTTGTGTTGATCCTCAGGCCATATTGCAATCTGATGGTACCCGGACTTCAGATCTATCTTAATGAAGTACCGGCAC